CCGACGCCAGCTTGACCGGTATTTGAAGCTGCATCATCGCCAGACAGGCGCAATGAGAATGTGCCGCCAGTGTCGCATGTGGGGGATCTCAGGGTAAGCACGGAGCTCGAATCTTGCAGGCGGGTTTCTGATAAACGGCAAATATAAATCGATAAGGTCTCTAGTGTGCGGGCAAATGCTGTCTGTTGGCCAATCTGCAGCAAATTGCGCACGTTGACGCATGCCAGTCTTTGCGAGACGCGAGGACTCCAAAGGGAAACGGATGAACTGACGTTGTCCGCTTGGTTGGACATGGACTTGTCGACTGGATTGAGCGACGCTCTGTGACTGTGTGACTTGAAACTAGAAGACAAGCGACTATTGAAGCAAGCTGGGGGAGGGCCAAGAATTGGGGGATTGAAAATGGGGGGATAAAAGTAAAGTTGTAGCGGTAAGGACGAAGAAGTGCAAGAAAGGGGATAAGAAGACTGGAAGGCCTGAGCAGTAGCATCCATACCCCTATCCACCCTGCTCGATGCAGCAGATAGGGCGTCGTTGATTATCCTCTGCGACGGCCAGAGCATCAAGAAATTGTTGTAGGAAAGGTTCATTGTATTGCGTGGGCAGAATACTGTCAGGTTGCTCAGGCCTAGACAGGAGAACCATTTGGGTTCTCAATCAAAGCCTTTTGTTCAAAAACCTTACCGAAAAGCAGCGGGTTTTGGCACTAGACCACAGAGAGCCTGTTTTATGAAATAAGGAGCCACGCTCATTCCAATCTGGAGGATCAGGAGGTTGAGTTTGTCTGGCCTCTGACCATTGACCACTCTGGTATGATTGGCTCTGAATGTGCAAAAAAAGCACCACGCACATAGCTTATTGGATCTCTGAGGCACGCACCCATCGCACCACGGTAAGGTCCAGTCTCATTGCGATAGAGCTTGTTCTTCATGTTAGGATTATTCAAGTATTGGAGTTAATCTGTCTATAGAGCAGAATGGCTGCCAGTGGCTTAGTGGCACACAAAATAAGACTGATCCCGCGACGATTTACACATGAAGTACGAGCGCCTTTCTTAAAAATCGAGACAATAACTGATTCGCCGCAAGACGAGGGCACTTTCTCTTCATGCCAGATTTTTTGCGAACAGCGCCGTCAGCTGGTTAATGATCCCCGCACCGTCGTACTTGAGCAGCTCCGGAGGAAGTCCGTCTAAGCCGGCAGCCCTGAGTCGTTTCAAACGTCTAATCTCGAGGCAGACTTCCGCTTCGCTGGGTGGATTCAGTTGGACGAGCCAGGGTGGACAACAAGGTGTTCTGCATGTACTGATGGATGTTGGAGGCCAGTTGAACTGCGAGTGAAAGTGCCCGGCTCAACGGTCCATATGCCTTTGTTGGTTGGTAGTCGGAGACTCATCCACCTCACAAATGACCTCACAGACACCAGGCTTGCTGAGGCCAGTGGACCGAATGAGTTGGAAAGTCTGCGAGTGTTGCCAGAGAGGACAGCGATCTCCATCTCTAAAGCACGCTTGTACCACCATGTCTCGCGATCCTTGCGTAGTCTTTGCTTGAGCAGCCGGTTGACAGAATGGCGCCGCTCGTTGCAATCTGATTCTGCGGGTATATTTTTGCGGCGTTCGAACAGCTCCACAGCAGAAATCCAAGCCTTTAGTGAGCGTCGAGTTAGGCCGCAGCATGACTGTCCGGAAATGATCATCGCTCTCCGTATATAAGTTCAATGTTGCTCTATGTCTTGCGGTGGATTGCAACTGAGTGCATATGTCACTGAAGACTGATAACTCGCCTGGACAGAGGAATCAGTTAATCTGTTTACATCAATCTTGCGGTGCTTCGTGTTTCGAGACCCCCTAAAACACATACAGATTTTCGCGCAGATCAGTGCATGATTTGAGTCAACGAAGGTGGACCAAAAGGACTTGCAGTCCAATACGCTGCCGCGTCATCGGAAGCTAACTGCAGTGTGATCAATTTGAGACCACCGATGTGTCAATGTAAGCACAGTGCTGGGATCTTGCAATCGGGTTTCCATAAGGCAGCAGACATCAATGTCTAGGAACTTCAGGGTGCGCGGTAGACCGGCTTGCCCCTCCAATCTGCATAAGCGTCCGAACCTTGAAGCACGCCAGACGGAACAAGGATCGGTGAGGAAGGAGAGCCATAGGTTGAAATCCTTGGTCCGCGGCGCAACCGGAATCGCAGCCAGATTGTTGAACACATGAATCGGGTAACAGAAAGTGAGGATTGTTAGCAAGCGAACAATTGTCGTGTGATGAAGTCGCGTGAATGTGAGAAGCAGAAACAGTAGCTAATGAGCACGTTGTAGTACACTCCATTGTTTTGTGAAAGGGTGTCATACTACCCGTTTGCCCAAGCCGATGTAGCGAGTTGACTTGGGGGACTCCACCCCGAGTCCTTGGCTAAATAACCTACCCCCGTGGCAGCGGGGCGAATTTAGGGAATCACGCCCATTGGGAGGCGCTGACTGAATGTTCAGTTCATGCGTCTTTGTTTGGTAGATCACCAGAGGCCCAATACTCTCCATGAAATCAGCACAATTGCTGGAATACAATGTCCGACCGAGGTGGAACATTGTCGCCGAACACTGCTGGAACGGGGTACACCCGAACCACCCAGCTGACACCACGAGCATGTAGTTCGGCAAGCCAGCTCTCCTAGAGAGTTACGCCACCTAGACTATATCACTTACTTTAGGCCCGATATACGATATGTCTCAGGCGTGCGCAACGCCGACGTCGACGCATTTTCTCGGGTCCAAGTAATCTCTACTGACACCGGAACTACTATCGACCTGGCAGCCATGGCCGCCACACAACTCAATAAGCTAGCAGTTCCCCTCACTAGACATACGATTTATTCCGCCAACATCATCAGCCGGAACTTTGCGACTTATCTCTGTGCACACGACTCCCGGTCCTACCAGGCGAATTACGACACACCGTGTTCGACATGCTACATGGTTTGTCTCACCCAGGCGTTCGTGCATTCGTTAAACTCGTAACCACACGATCCGTTTGGTGCAATGTCAATCGCAACGTTTCTACTTGGGCAGCTGCTTGCTTTCCGTGTCAACGTGTGAAGGTGCAGAAGCACACGAATAGCCCATTGGGCACGTTTCCAATGCCACACACGTTTTCACCACCTGCACGTCGACCTCGTGGGTTTTGCTGCTTTTGAAAGGCTTGGTATACCAACTGACTTGCATCGATCGATTCGCCAAGTAACCAGAAGCTAAAGCGATGGGTAGCACAGTATGGCTGCCCAACTATCGTGACCACCGATAGATGGTCACACTTCTCGTTCGCTTTCGCTACTTTGCTTAAGAATTTAGCTTGTCGCCACGTCAAAGCAACGGCCGCTAACGGCATGGTAGAGCGATTTCATTGCTCGCTAAAAGCAACGCTCTGAACGCACGCAGACTCTTCATGATGCGAAACTCTTCCCCTTTCCCCTAGGATTCAGGAACGCTGTAAGGACCTATTTTGACGCAACACCAGCGCGGCTAGTCTACGGTTGCACGCCGCGTTTGCCCGGACAGCTGGTAGCATCAGCACTATCCACTTCCTTAAACCACAGGACATACTGATCGGTTAGCTCACCAGGCGCATGAGTTGCATCCACCCGTTTCACGGTGGCACAAGACACCGGTATACTGCATGAAAATCTGTCTATTTGCTCACACGTACTGCTTCGCATATACAGTGTTCGAGAGCCGTTGCAGTCGCTGTTCGTCAGCCTTTCCAGGTAGTCAATCGTACTATTAAGATAGTTACAATCAACCGCGATAGCCGACACGAAATTGCCACCATCGACCGCCTAAAATCATGCTTTACGGAAGAAACAACTTTGCCTCCGTCGTCTAGCAATGTTTCGTGCGATGTTTCAATTAACGGCACCAATTTCCAACGGATTAGCATCATCGAATCAGACCACAATCCCGGTCTACAAGCACCAGTCGTCCCGACATCAACCTGACCTATCGCCACCCATGACAAACCGCCGTAGTCGAGAGGCTCGTAATCCGGTTCGCTTTGCCGATTATATGCAGTGTAAATACGCTTAAGCTTGTAAATATTGTATTAATTTGCTCCGTTTTGGTCGGCTAGCGTAGTGAAAACAAAAAATGAATCTAAACAATTCTGCACGCAATCCGTTCGTTCTTTCTTTTGGTGTACTCTGCGTTTTCTTATCTATCCCTACGTGTGCTAAACCTCCGAGCGATTGGATCTCACGAGAGACGCTTTCGAGGATCGCCGCAGTCAACAAGGAATTAACTGCAAAAACTAGACGATCTTCATGGGACGAGGGTCGATTTGGCGCGGGATGGGGTGCGGCGGAGGAAGAGGCCACTCCCAAGTGCACCGTTTGGCAGCAGCAGGAGTTGTGGTCTTGTCTTCGTTTTCTCTGGACTAACTAGTATTTCTAAGTCCGACAAGTCCACCCCAACGGCTCACCCTGATGCGCAACGTCCTGCAATCAGTTAAATAATAAACTACCAAAGGACACAACGGACTTTGTGTTCGGGCAAACCCTCCTTCAACACGAACAGTCGCACTCATTTTCACTCGGCACGATTTTCCCTTACGAACCTCGACTGACCCATCGTTCTGGTTGTCGAAGACTTCTTTTGTCCAGCTTTCTCTAACGCCCCAAGATAACGAATCATTAACCTACAACTCTATTGCTGATATATTGTACACCATTCGCTTTTGTTTTACTACTTTGCTTTCCGTCCATATCTCTTCACACTGCAACGCGACACGCCATGTTGTTTTAACCCACCTCTGAACCAGCGTCTTTCCTGTTGTCGTGATCTTGACAGCGGACTGCTCAACCTACGCTTGTTTGCTTCTCTCGGGTATTCGGCCATTTTCTGGTGTCGGCTTGTCAGCAGGCACTCGATACGTTATTCGTCGATATTCGGTCATACTAGGTGGTTGAGTTTATTTCCGGCCACGTACGTTCCGTTTTGTTTTCCATTGCAGGTCATCGGGTCCATCGCTACCTACTCTACGTGTCGTTTACGGAAGAATCAGGAACCCCCGGCCCGGGCGAATATTACAGACACTGGTCTGCTCGTTTTAGGAATATAGTCCGCTGTGTCCGACTACGTTTATCTTCTGAAATCTACGCTCGATTATGTGCATCATCTCCTACTAGTGTTTACAGTTACTTTATTATATATCTTACTTCACCCATTGGAACTCTAAAAGTTTTGGTTGGTAATAACTTTAAGATTCGATATGAATGCCGGACAACTGCAGCACCAGCATAGGCTCCCCCTCAATGCTTCTTCAGATCAGTCGATTATTCAACTTTGGGAGCGCAAGCAAGATGTACAGCTGTCTCGGCCTCACATTGATTTAATGGACCGCTGGTCTTCGGATGGAGACAGCGCATCATCGTCTTCTTCGGCGTCTCCTGTCGAATTTTCTCATTCCTTTGAGGCCACTTTACCGCGAGATTCCGCGATTCTCTGCTTTTCACCCACCGGGGATAATCTTTTGAAGTATGTCACTTTTGCTGGTTTTGTCTAACGTTGTTTCCTTAAAATCATAATGTTATTTCTACATCACTTCCAACTTGAAGTGTTGCTTAATGTTCTTAACGAATTCTTTACTTCACCCGCAACTATATTGTTTCTCTTTTACCATCTGTACGTGTTTTGTGATCACTTGGGTCACTGTCGCTTCTGTTCTTCTGACCATACAGTTTCATAGTCACAGTTCCATAGTCACAAACGGGTGGGTGTGAAGGCCCCGGTGCGCCTCGTGTCACTACGTGTGCTCTGAGGTACATTAAGGAGTACGCCGTCTTCGAACACCGGTACCAATGAGGTATTGCTTTTTTCCGGTCGCATCGTTGAGTGTGTACTACTGAAGTTCACCGTTTAACGCTTTACAATAGACGTCTAACATTCCAATTCAGTTCATTTGATAAACGATTCGGAACGAAAGCGCCAGGCTTCCGACGAATGCGCGCCACTGACGGATCTCAATAGTACGAAACTGTCATCTATTGCTTCCCTGGATTTGCGGTGGCTGCATGACTGTCTACCTGCGACGAATCCTCTCAAGTACACAATAAGTCCCCTACTACTCTAATGACCAGACCACTGGCTTTGAGACTACTCTGCCTGGAAGGACATCTAACCACTTATGTAGGCGATTCTTTCTACTTCTATACTGAAATACCACAAACACTAACTTTTCAAACCTTTTGGTTTCACCATTATAATTTTACATATCACCAATTATCGTTCTTACGTTCCACTCAACAATAGTGGCTGGCAAGCGAGTATTCAAAAAACTCTAGCTGTGTCAGCTGTATGCCGTAACGGCGCTTCGCTGCCGCGCGACCACCACCAGTCGTCGCGGGCTGAATATACCGCGAGGACGCCCACCCCTACTCGGAGTCGAACCGGTGACCTTGTGGTCGCAAAGCAAACGTGCAGACCACTCGGCCACCCGAGCTAGTAAACGTGGATAACTCAACCTCAACAGGCGATGCAACAAGATCAGAGACCGTTGCTAAATATCACCTAGCGGTCTTTATTATCGATCACCCTGTGCTCGCACCAGATCTGATCAACACGTGGTGCATACTAGCTGACACAGACTTGTATTTTTACTACCTTCAACACAATGGCTTTCTGATATCCATACTTTAACCTAGGCCACAATGCAACTTCGTGCACCCTTTCATTAGCCAAAACAATCGTTTCCAGTTGTCTGTATAAACATTTAAAATGTGCAGTGCACTTGTAAGCACGTGCAACACTATTCATCGACTTAGCAGTTGGGTCCGGCCGATGGCGCGCTGTCTTCCATGTGTTCCAGTTTTAACATCCGATCACCTAACATTGTCATCTACTTCATCAGTTACGGTTTACCCTTGCTGAGAAAGACCGACCTATGCGAGTAACTTTTGCTGACCAGGTAAGCCCGAAGCTAATACTATCTCGGTTGGGTAAGTTGAGAGGCGATAGGATGCGTATTCGTCCGGATATCAATCCAGCTGATCGGGAGCGCCTCAAGTGTGCTCTCATCGAGCTAAAGCGGCAAACTGATGAGAGAGAAACAAACCTACATATGGTAACTTTTCGGGTTATTACAACGCGATCGCGAATTCGGATAAATCGGTCGCTCGCCCGGTAGTACTTACCACAGCCTGCGTGTAGCCTATACTAACATCTGCAGTTGTAGGACTAAGCGCGATGAGTTGTGCCGTTTCGTTGCTTTCGAGCGACCAGATGTAATGGGACTCACAGAGACGTGGTTGACCGATGATGTACTTACCCAGGAAGTTGAGCTTAGTCGCTACTCTGTAATTGGCTATCAAATGTCCACAGTGGTGTCTTGTTGTACATCCGATCTTCTCTGTGTGGGAGACTCATGAGCGTCCACCGAAGCATAGGTGGCCTATATGAGCAGTTGTGCTCCTCGATCCCTCTTCGACGCAGAGAGCTGTTCGTGTGCATTCTATCGCAGTCTCCTTAGCCGTTGTTTGGATTGGCTGCCGCATCTCCGAGATCACATGAATAGCCGTCAATTTCTACCCATAGATGATTTCAACTCTGCTCGAATACGCTGGCCTGAAGGTGAATTTATCGTCGGTTATTGTGAGGCCGAAGCAACCTTCACTGATATGGTACTTGAAACTGGGGCAGCACAGCACATCTGCCAACCGACGCGCATAACACCGCGCTCAACTCCATCGTGCTTAGACTTGATGTTAACCAGCTGTGAACAACCTGTGTGTGACATTCGGATTCTGGAGCCTCTGGCAGCAAGCGACCACTCAGTTCTTATTGCCAACATGGAGCTGTCGCTGCATCGATCGCACGGACTGCAGCCAGAGTACCACTACTGGAAGACGGATCTCAACGACCTAACTTAAGCCGCGAGCCAAGTGGATTGGTTTTTACCGCAATCTGTATCTGCTGAAACTTCTTGATCAGTTATAAAGAATGGAATGCATTCATTATGTAACCAATTTGTGTCTCCCAAGTGTCGGAAAATCGGACCGGTCAAACCACATTGGTTTGACAAAGAATATGGCAAGGTGGCTCGGCGGCGGCGCAGGCTATGGGACAAATCCCTTATCTCTGGCTCGAACGGCGACTATGAAATGTATTTAAAGCAGCGAAAGATCTGCAACGGTGGGAAAACCAACGAGCGCAGGCATTTCGAGGAACAGCTTGCAGCTGCAGCAAAAGCCGCCCCAAAGAGAGTCCTTGCATATATGAAGCAGCGTCTGAGGTCGAACAGTAACCTACCAGTGATAGAGGACGAGAACGGACAGTCCCTAACCTCCAGCACTGAGCGTGCTTCCACATTTTGCTTCTGTGTTTGCAGATGACCAGGTGTCTGTACCGAGTTCGGCGTGCATCACGCTCACCGAACTCGACAGTCTGGATTGTGATGTGGAAGAAGTGCGTCAGCTACTCGACAATCTTGACGGCACCAAGCCTGCTGGACCTGACGGGCTCCACCCCCTGATTCTCAAATCCTTATCAGCCATCATCTCGCCTGCCGTAACTGATCTGTTCAACAGGTCTCTGTCCGAAGGTACATTGCCGATTGATTGGAAATGCTCTGTGGTAAGGGTGATTCCGACAGTCGATGACCCGGGCAAGGTAGACAACTACAGGCCAATTTATTTGTCACCTGTTTTGGCCAAGGTTGTGGAGAAGCTTGTAAAGAAACGTTTGCTTCGGCTGTTCTGGTCACACGATCTGCTGACGCCCACACATCACGGTTTCACACCAGATCGTTCATGCATCACCAACATGCTCGTGACAATGCTTGAATGGATACAGGGAATGAACTAAGGGAGCTCTGTCGACCCTGATCTACAGCAAAGCATTCGACAAGGTGAACCATAAGGTCCTCCTTCTAAAGCTGACAGTGTGTGGTGTTGGTACACCACTACACCACTGGATTCAGCACTTTCTCGGGCGAAAGTGGAGGGTACAAGTCGAAAGCCACCTGACCACTTGGTATCCTTCGATTCTGGGGCCCACATTGTTCCTGATTTATATCAGTGACTTACCTCAGCTTCTTCGGTCGCCCTGTGGCTTGTTTACAGACCACCTGAAGATATGGAGAGGGATAAGCACACCCGACGACTGCGGCTTACTACAACAGGACCTAAACCATTTTTTCTTGTGGTCTGCAGAAGTCCGCCTCCAGGTCAGCGCATCCAAGTCGGTATTCATGAACCTGGGGAAAGATTGTGGCGGCTTAACTTACACTCTCGACGGCCAATTGCTACACCCCACACCTTTTGTGAAGGATCTAGGAGTACTTTCACGTAGAAACCTGAAGTCCGTTGATAACACAATCAAGTTATATCATAACGGACTGCGCATGATCTTGGCACTCCAACAGTTTCTGCGTCTGAACTGAAGGGGTTGCAGCTCGCCTCTTCTCCATCATCATTGCGGCTCGCCCGCCTATTGCTTCACCACTCGCGGCGAGGCGCAGAAGATTGCACGGGTTCAACACGTCCCCTACTAGGCTCATCCCGTTTGCGAGGCTTATCGTACAAGGATAGGTGCGAGCGAATGGGGCAGTTCACCCTGGCATACCGTCGGTTACGTGTCGACCTCATCATGACCTACCGGATACTACATGTAGGCGACTTCTCTATGCTTAGGCCACTACTCCACTTGCGAACGTCTTGCAGCACACGCGGACACCAGTACAAGCTTGTTCTTCCGGGTATGAAGCGAGTTCCCCATCCTCTGTGATTGGAACGGCGAGTGGTAAATGTCTGGAACGGTTTGTCGGAACATGTAGTGGAAGCGAACACAGTGCCGTTATTCAAAGCATCATTGGATGTGCATGACAGTTGGACGAGAAAGCTGAGAGCCGACACAGATGAATAGACGCCATGGGGCAATGCTCCAACCTGGTCCAGAATGCTGCAGAATCACCAGTGCTGCCCTGAACCTCAAGCCAGTCACTAAACCAGTATTCAGAGCAAAACGGCTTGCGCCAATCAGGAAAGAAAAGCACTACACTTGTCCTGTGGGGAAAAGTCGGACGGACGGTGCGTCATTTCAGAATTGGTGACAGGGGGTACGCGCGAGAGTTCCGAGGACCGAAGTGGTGGTCAAGAGGAAGGGTGATCCGCAGAAATAGTGGAGTCAATTACGAACAAACGGTTAGGAACAAGAAATGGATCAGGCACGCAGATCAGCGGAGACCGAACCACGGAAAAACACAAGGGCCCGCAGACAACATATATCGAAGAGCGGCCAGGAGAAGAAAACCACCAGGGCAACTGATTGATCTCAAAATAAAGAAAGCTGAACTGACGCAAGTAGGCATGGTGGGGAAGCAGTTTCAATTCGGAGGAGGTGTC